CTGCCAAGTTTTGAGATCTCCAGGTTAATTGAGTGAAGACATGAGAGACAGTTTTCCTAATTGCAGCTCCCAGGCTATGGAACTCCCTCCCACAGGACAGATGGCCAACACTCCCCCACTTGCCTTCTGCTGACAAGCAAAGACCTTCTTAGTTAAACCAATGTTTAGCCTTTAAATGATTGCTGCAGAAGGACTGTTGTATCTTCTACTAACTAATGCCTTCTAAAAGAAATTGACACTTGTTTAGCTGTTCTTAAATTGTTGTCAATATTATGATTGATTTTAGCTGTCTTGCAATCAAAGTTGAAAAACTGCATAGGGTCTTAGGTGGGAACAAGCTAAGCTACAACTTCAACAAATATAAATACTGGTACATTACAAAGCAGTTGGATGATGAAATCCTCAAAACCTAGTTATCCAAGCACCCCATTAATGAGAATACTATCCATTATGTTTCCCAAATGGGACTGAAAAAATTGCTTTGCTGTTGACAACATAACATTCAATTGTGAAATGAAAACAAGAGGACCAAGACCAATTCCAACCCTGTTTTTTTAAACACACACACAAATACTGCATTTTAAATTTCTATTACCATAATTTTATTTCACTAACAATTACTCTTTTTCATCTGCTTAAAAAATCTCATTAATTATATGAGCTGAAGGCAGTTTGCAATTTTAAAAGAGTGCCTTAAATGCAAAGTAAAAAAAGTTTTAAAAATCCTTTTAACTATGTAAGAAGACGGGCATTTCTAGCAATCCTTCCCATGAACACAATGAAGTGCTTGAGACACAAGCTTGCTTATTATTTAGTTTAATTCTATCAATTTAGCATAACTTGTGTGTACTGTAGAGTCAGGGCATGAATACAATGGTGTCAAGGATACAGCTATATTTGATGAGCCACAAAGCTTATGTGCAGCCTTGACAAGGTCTCTTTCTCTCCCTGTCCTGACAATATGAAGTTGTTGCAAAGATACATGAGAGGTACTGTAGTAGTTTGTAGTACACTGACAAACTCTTTAGCAGTGTTAATTTCAATAACTTTGTACTTCAGCAAACACCTAATGACATGAATATATTTATTGAAAGGTTCATGCCAACCACCCATCTTAACATACAGTCAAAATGAAAAATACTTCTGAATTTGCACCATGTCCTGAATATGATTTTATTTTTCATTCATTCATTCATTCATTCATTCATTGCTTTGAACAATGATTGATAATGTATTTCATCTATTACAATTATATCTCCTTTTCCCAAGATAGATAGGTTGAAGGAGGGTTGCAAAATCATCATAGTAAAAATCACAACTAAAACTATAGAACTAAAACTAAAACTATTTCTATTCAATTTTTAAATGTGATGGAAGTAGAATAGTTAATCTGAGGTCTAAAGGAAACTAGTGTACACATCAAAAGACATCTAAAAATAACTTTATCAGGGCCTAATCTAATTGATAGTTCCATCCTACTACAGAGAATCACTTGCTGGTCATTAAATTAGCATTTATGCAAATCATATTGATTCAAGAGGTCTACTCTAGCTAGGACGAGCAAATTGATGTAGGCTTTAATGTCACTTCCCTTGAAGGGAGGTTGCCATTTATGCATCACCAAAAAAATGTAAACACATCAAAACTCTTCCAAAGAGATGATAAAACACAAGTTTGTATAACATGTTAATATATATTTATAAATAAACATTTTGAATTTTATCACTTAAGACAGGAATATCCTACATATTAACATAGTGGAGAAGATTTTGACTAGGTGATTCATGTGCTTGTACTATCAGCAGTCTAAGTTTGATGGGCAACTTCAAGATCCCTGTTCCTCACTTCTTAGGTTTTTCATCTTTAAACCAAACTTGGACAGGATAACTCTTCAAATAAAGCAGATGCTTACAAATAAGGAAATGTTCTCTATGCATCAGTTACATAATCACTCTGCATTTCTATGGGAAAATTCTAAAGGTTTGATGTTGCAGTTATCAAACCTCTAAAGGTTTGATGACTGTGGAGAAGGTCCAGCTTGTGATACCCATCCAACTAATCTCAAGTACCGATGAAAAGTCAAATAGCATAAATTTAAGAATAGGATGGTTGAATGAGCAGCCCATTTTAGTCTACAGATCAAAAACCGCAGACAACGTAGATTTGGCAGTGTCAATATAATATCTTCATTTTGGACTGACCCTTTTCAGGGTCACATTATTGTATTTGGAGCAGCTGACACTTCTGAATACACCTAAGCTACCCTTAACATGAACAGAGCATTAAAAAAACTGTGGTGAGATCATGCCTACTCAAAAAGTGTCAATAATATTCAGAACTAGTATTGACACTTTCTAAATAAGAATAGCATCACCACATAATATGTTCAGAACATTGGAAATACCCAAACGGCACCATATTCTAGAAACTAAGTAGGATCAGCTCTTGTTAGTCATTATATGGAAGACCACCAAGGCATACATGTTGAGGAGGCTAGGGGAAGAAACTGATAAAACTATCTCTGAATATTCCTTGCCTGAGAAAACTCGATGAAATACATGGATTCATCATAAACTGACAGGCAACTTGAAGACCCACAGACACAGACACTCTTTTGAAAAGCCAAAAGTGTTTCACTCTACAAGTATTGCTTTAGTCTCAAATGATGATGAAGAAGTTGCAGACTTGTGATCCCTCTTCTTCATGTTTCAAGAATGAAATATCACCTGTAGTGTGAATTTACTTGTCCTTATTCATGGCAATCTGTGCCCCATATATGTTCTTCCACTGCAACATCCACAATTCCTCTCTTTTGATATGCTGGCTAGATCTGATGGCAAATGTAGGTCAAAAACAACTGGAGAACAACAGTGCCTACCTTTTAGTTAATGCATCAAGAACAGGCTAAACTCCGCTCCTTGTGAGGCAAACTCTTATCACCACTTCTGAAAAAAGTCACAGTTTATCAGCTTTCGTCCATCCATCTAATCAACTAATGACATCAGGCATTTGTTTAGGACACCTATTTCACTAATATTCTCTGACAAAGAGAATAAACAGACCTGAGTAAAATCAGCATACCAACCATCCCACATTCTCAGATCACCCCTGCTAGTGGTTTTATGCAGTTATTAAACCATGGGGGAATCAAAGCTCTACTTTCTCCTTTAATGAGCAGCCCCAAGAGCACAAGATTATTTTTTCATTCTTTGATGAGTAATCCAAGTAATTACCAACATGAAAAAGGGAAGGAGGAACACAAAATAGCTAACAGAAGCATCATTTACTTGTTTTACACCAAGCAGACAACAGAGTCAGGGCTGTCCTTATTGCTATAATACCCAGTGCTGCCATGCAGCCAAGCCTTGTAGTATCATGGCTCCAGGGTTTGGGATTAACGGAGATGGTCCTATATGTCACCATCTCCACAAAAGCTGCCCTGTTCCGAGTTTCACTTCAGTCCCTGCGCAAGAAAGGAAATGGCTATTCTCATTTATTACAGTATATGTTATAAAGTTGTAATCCAAAATGCAATGAGAGAAAGAGAATGATTAATGGAGATCCATCAGCTTTTCAGAAGGTTCACGCCTCGTAGACTAGATATGAAAACTGTTGAAACTGTTCTATTGCTCTGGATCAACTCAGCCATCTGCACTTGTTTTTGGATTCTCCCTGGTGTCACTATGGGGGTTGATGTGGAAACAGTATGTGCTTCACAATACATTAGAACCCCCTTATCCACTGATTTGCTGTCCACAGTTTCACTTACTCACACTCCAAAAATATCCTCCCTCCCCTGAAAATGTTTGTGGATCTCTCTAGGTCACATATGTCAAACTCAAGACCCTCAGGCCAAATCTGGCCCGCCATGCCATTTTATGTGATCCTCCAGATGCTGAACTACAACTCCTGTATTCCTCATCATTAGACAACATGACTAGAGTTAATAAGAGTTGGGATACAGTAAGATCTAGAAATTTGTTCCACTTTAATCTGTTTAGTCAAAATACTGGGTTTGAATATAGATACACGGCTTGTGGACATGATGTCTGACTTTAAAATGTTGTTTAACCTTTCCCCAACCTCAGAGCCACAAGTGCTGCAGGCTTGCAATTCCCATTATCCACATTCCCCATGGTGCATAATCAAAAGTGATGAGAGTTGTGTTCAATAACATCGGGATCTAAACTGGGTAAAAACTAAAGAGCACTGACCACTATTTAAAAAATTATAGTGGGCCCTCTATATCTGTCCATGAATTTAATGGCCCTTTGAAGGCAACCATAAAGCTGATGTGGCCCTTGATGAAAATGAGTTTGACGCGCTTGCTCTAAAGGCACCAAATTGCTTCTAACATTGGAAGCTTACCAGGTCCAGCCCTGGTTAGTATAGCGCAAGCAATATAGCTGTAGGCTACATTTTAGAGGAAGGAACTGGCAAAAGTACCATCAAATATTGTTTGCCTAAGAAACCACTATGTAAAAAAAAGTTATAGTCTACTCTCTGTATTCATGGATTCTCATTTCATTGATTCAATGGCCCTTTGAAGGCAATCATAAGGCTGATGCGGCCTTTGATGAAAATGAGTTTGACACCCCTGCTCTAGGTCCTCCAGTGCAATTCTATGGTATGCTTCTGGCCCGAGTTCAGTCAAAACATAGGAGTTCATGATTATCCAGGGGGATCTTGGAACACGATATATACTGGCACAGCCCTAGAATGATGCAAACCCAAAACTAAGTTAGTTTTCATTGAACATCGCCACTCTCTATTTATTAACGATTCCACAGTAATCCTCAGGACAGCCCACCATTCACTATACTGATCAAAAACAGATCTTTTTACACCCTGAAGGGAGGGAAAAGCCAGGGAAATAATCCCATCCAATTAACGTACGCTTAGCTGTGTCCTCTTGGTGCCGCATCTGAATGCGAGGAGGGCCTGTAATGTGATCCAGGCCAATGCCACCTGCTTGCCTAGGGCAGGATGTGGGAACTCACCCAGAAGAGCAGATTGAGGGCATAGAGCAAGCAGCGCAAGCACTTCACCGAGTCTTCGCGGGCCATTGTGAGCTCCTCTCTGCCGAAAGCCCCATCCTTGAACTTGCTACATCCTCTTTCCAACACTTCTAGGCAAACCTAAAGCGATCTGCAGAAAGGAAAAAGGGGAGGGACACGGAGAAGAGAGCAGAGGGGAGAGAAAAAGAAAAAAAATATTCCATTGATGACAGGAAAAGTGCAGTTCAAAACCAAGCCAATGAAAGGAGCAAAGGGAGACGTCTGTGTTTTCCACTATCTTTCTGCTGCTATGGCTATTTCAACTCCAGCGTCATCTGAAGTGTCATTTGAGTGGTGAAAGGAGCAGAAGTTAGTAGCAAAACACACAAACAAGCACTACTTTGCACTCTGCAAAATTTGTGTTTCCAATCTAAAATGCACATGCTTGGAAGTTTTTGGTTCTATAGTCCTTCATTCACACAATACAGGACAGCACCCTTTGGTCATGTTTAACTAATTCACACAAAGAAAAATACCCGCCTTCTTGCCATGATTTCCATATCACACGGAAGTGTTGTTCCAAATACGCTTGCTTAGAAGGGGTGGGAAAACATTTTGATTATTCATTAACCCACTTGAGGGAACACGTAACACAGAAGAGGCATTGCAAATCCAAGAATCCAGCAGAACAGGGGTCAGTGCCCACGTCAATGGCACAAATGGCCTATTTCTATTGACAGATATTTGTGGGGCTTATTTCCAAAAGGTACTAAATCCATCTGAACAAATTTTACAGGAATCAAAAACAACATGCAGAGGATGTGCATTCCTTTGCTGTAAAGTCCTGTATTGAAACGATTTGATATGTTTTGATAGATTTGATCAGTACATAATATGGGACTCCAGTCAACAATACAATCCCCTTATCCACAGATTATGGAGTCCCTGGTGGAGCAGCACTTGCTGACCAAAAGGTTGGTGGTTCGAATCTGGAGAGCATGAAAATGCATCCTGCATATCAGATTTTTACATTACAATTCATAATAGTAGAAAAATTACAGTTGTGAATTAGCACCGAAAATGATGTTATGGTTGGGGGTCAGCACAACATGAGGAACTGTGTTAAAGGGTCACACCATTAGGAAGCTTGAGAAACACTGCACTAGAGAATGAATAAAATCCAGTTGCTGCCTCTTGCAGAATTCTGGGGTTTGTAGTTTAGGGAGGAGCCTTGAAGAGCCTCACTAAACTACAAGTCCCAGAATTCTGCAGGAGGCAAAAACCAGATTTAAAGTGGATTCATTCTCTAGTGCAGTGGTGCTTAACCTTCCTAATGCAGTGACCCCTTAATACAGTTCCTCATGTTGTGGTGACCCCCCCAATCATAAAATTATTTTAGTTGCTACTTCGTAACTGTAATTTTGCTACTGTTATGAATTGTAATATCCAATATGCAGGATGTATTTTCATTCACTGGACCAAATTTGGCACAAATACCCCATACGCCCAAATTTAAATACTGCTGAGGTTGATTTTGTCATTTGGGAGTTATTGCTGGGATTTATAATCAAAGAGCATTCTGAACTCCATCAATGATGGAATTGAACCAAACTTGGCACACAGAACTCTCATGACCAACAAAAATACTGGAAGGACTTGATGGGCACTGGTTTTGAGTTTTGGAGTTGTAGTTCACCTACATCCATAGAGCACTGTGGACTCAAACAGTGATGGATCTGGACCAAACTTGGCACAAATACTCAATATGCCCAAATGTGAACACTGGTGGAATTTGGGGGAAAATAGAGCTTGACATTTGGGAGATGTAGTTGCTGGGATTTATAGTTTATCTACAATCAAAGAGCATTCTGAACCCCACCAATGATAGAGTCATAGAATCATAGAATCAAAGAGTTGGAAGAGACCTCATGGGCCATCCAGTTCAACCCCCTGCCAAGAAGCAGGAATATTGCATTCAAATCACCCCTGACAGATGGCCATCCAGCCTCTGTTTAAAAGCTTCCAAAGAAGGAGCCTCCACCACATCCGGGGCAGAGAGTTCCACTGCTGAACGGCTCTCACAGTCAGAAGTTCTTCCTCATGTTCAGATGGAATCTCCTTTCTTGTAGTTTGAAGTTTCCGCGTCCTAGTCTCCAGGGAAGCAGAAAACAAGCTTGCTCCCTCCTCCCTGTGACTTCCTCTCACTTATTTATACATGGCTATCATATCTCCTCTCAGCCTTCTCTTCTTCAGGCTAAACATGCCCAGCTCCTTAAGCCGCTCCTCATAGGGCTTGTTCTCCAGACCCTTGATCATTTTAGTTGCCCTCCTCTGGACACATTCCAGCTTGTCAATATCTCTCTTGAATTGTGGTGCCCAGAATTGGACACAATATTACAGGTGTGGTCTAACCAAAGCGGAATAGAGGGGTAGCATTACTTCCCTAGATCTAGACACTATGCTCCTATTGATGCAGGCCAAAATCCCATTGGCTTTTTTGCCGCCACATCACATTGTTGGCTCATGTTTAACTTGTTGTCCACGAGGACTCCAAGATCTTTTTCACACGTACTGCTCTCGAGCCAGGCGTCCCCCATTTTGTATCTTTGCATTTCGTTTTTCCTGCCAAAGTGGAGTCTCTTGCATTTGTCACTGTTGAACTTCATTTTGTTAGTTTTGGCCCATCTCTCTAATCTGTCAAGATCGTTTTGAATCCTGCTCCTGTCCTCTGGAGTATGGCTCCCCCAATTTGGTGTCGTCTACAAACTTGATGATCCTGCCTTCTAAGCCTTCATCTAAGTCATTAATAAAGATGTTGAACAGGACCGGGTCCAGGACGGAACCCTGCGGCACTCCACTTGTCACTTCTTTCCAAGATGAAGAGGAAGCATTGGTGAGCACCCTCTGGGTTCGTCCATTTAACTAAACTTCCCACACAAAATCCCCATGACCAACAAAAAATACTGCATTTTATGATGGTCTTTAGTGACCCCTCTGACACCCCCTCACAACCCCCCCAGGGGTCCCGACCCCCAGGTTGAGAAACACTGCTCTAGTGTGATGAAGTATCGGGAACCAAATCTCAGTGGATACCAAGGGCCCACTGTATACTCTTCTCTGGGGGTGCATCCACACTGTAGAGTTAATGCAGTTTGACACCACTTTGACAACTGCCAAGGTTCAATGCTAAGGAATGCTGTAGTTAGGCACCAGCACTACTTGGCAGAGAACAACACCTAAAACTATGTCTCCCCTGATCCCAAAGCACTGACCCTGTGGCATTAAACTGCACTCATCCCCCAGTGTAGATGCACCTCAAAGCCAATCAATGGTCATTCTGATCAAAAGTTGAGTAAAGTAGCCCAGCTTGGGTATGCTCTAATGCCCTATCCTACCAGTTGGGGAAAGCAGGAAAAGGGAAAGAAGGCAATCAACTAGAGAACTTTTCACGCTTACCGCGTGGGCTACCAGGCAACCCTGCTCTCCACGTTGCGCTGATCCGAGGCAAGGCAAAGGGAGGAGGGAATCAAAGCTCGAGTGGGCTGGATGCTCCCTTGGAAGGCAGGCACTCCCTTCCCTGTTGACTTCTCTCCAGGTCCAGCAAGGGGATAAATAAAGCGCCGCTTGGGCAATAACTTTCAACTTGGAAGCGGGGTGGGGGACAGGCTCCTTCCCTCCCGCCTCCTTTCCCAGCCTGGAAGGGCAGCCGCCAGCTGCACAAGCCCTCCTTCCCACGCATGCTCCGCCGCCCAAGGCCTCCGCTGGGTCTTAGAACCCGCCCTTCACTCTGAGCGCCCCTTCCTCTCTCTGCAGTTTGACACCACTTGAACTTCCATGGCTCACTGCTCTGCAATCCCGAGAGTTGTAGTCTGTATTTTGTTTAAATAACTTTATTTTAAAAGTTTTTAAAGTTCCAAAAAGTTTGAAAAGTTAACCCAGAAAAGAAATACAGAGTAGAAACACACACACAAAACTGCCAAATTTTAAAAGAAAACATTTTTTAAAAATTGTGTCAGACTACACAGAGAAGCCATCGAAATACAAAAGCATGTGGACAATTTCAACAGAAAGGAGGAAACCATGAAAATGAACAAAATCTGGCTACCAGTATTAAAAAAAAACTCTAAAATTACAACAGCACAACAACAGAGAGGATTTGGTCGTGTCAGGAGCAACCTGAGAAACTGCAAGTTGCTTCTGGTGTGAGAGAATTGGCCGTCTGCAAGGATGTTGCCCAGGGGACGCCCGGATGATTTGATGTTTTATCATCCTTCTGGGAGGCTTCTCTCATGTCCCCACATGAGGAGCTGGAGCTGATAGAGGGAGCTCATCCGCCTTTCCCCGGATTCGAACCTGCGACCTGTCGGTCTTCAGTCCTGCCAGCACAGGGGTTTAACCCACTGCGCCACCGGGGAAACAAACAGAGAGGAAATAAACAAGGACATCTAATCACCTCTCAACAAAAGTTTGCTCCAGGCACTGTCAGGCTATTATATGCTAATCAAGGTGGTCAGCTGAAACATTCACACCTAGCTCCAGCAGACAAGAGTCCTTTGTTCCACCCTCGTCATTCCACAGATATATAAACCCTTTTCCCTAGTTTCAACAGATCTCACTACCTCTGAGGATGCCTGCCACAGATGCAGGCGAAATGTCAGGAGAGAATGCCTCTAGACCATGGCCATATAGCCCGGAAAAACCTACAACAACCCAGTGATTCCGGCCATGAAAGCCTTCGACAATACAATTTTTTAAAAAATAGGTATCCTCAGTAGGTATCCTTTCTATCCTCAGAAAGAAAACAACCTATGCTTCAACCTCTTAGGAGCCTCATCACACTAGAGAGAAAAATCCACTTAAAATCTGGTTTCTGCCTCCTGCAGAATTCTGGGGTTTGTAGTTTAGGGAGAAACCTTGAACAGCCTCACTAAACTACACAGCCCAGAATTCTGCAGTAGGCAGAAACCTGATTTTAAGTGGATTTTTTCTCTCTAGTGTGATAGTAGAGGCCTCCCAATGTTAACTCCTTTCTCGAACAATAACACACCCTTAAATTATCCTTCAGAACAGCAAATTGTCAAGTCTTTCTCTTCCTCCTGCAGAAAAACGAATACAAGATTTCCAGTCTTCTATATAAATAAAAATGTAATGTTCGTTTGTGGGATTAACATAACTCGAAAACCACAGGGCGAATTGACACCAAATTTGTACACAATACATCTATCAGGCCAACAAGTGACCATCACTCAGAAAAACACAGCAGAAGTGACTTTAAAAGCCAAAAAACCAAAAAATACATTACAACGCATGTGCAAAACCACATATACACACACATATATACACACACATATACATATACATATACACAGCTCGTCATTTCTACATGCCAGGAGAGCTTATTGAAGCCTGTAATGGAGGCCGGGTAAGTTTTCATTACTTTTCTAAGGGGTCTGGGGCTTCAAGGAAGGGGAGCAGGGCCTCCGCTCAAGATGTTACGTCTGGACACCCACCCCAGAAAGTGTGCACTTTTTGGAGTGTGTATGAACAGGCCCCCAGGAAAATCCGCATTTTTAAATCGCGGATTCTCCTGGGATAAAGGCCTGTCTGGATCTGCCCTGAGTCATCTGAGTTCGCACTGCCATATATTCCAGTTCAAAGCAGATAATGTGGGATTTTTTCAGCTGTGTGGAAGGGCCCCAGAATGCTTTTCAGGAGTCACATACCATCAGTACATTGTTTTATTAAAACATTTTTTAAAATTATATTATAATGTACATTTTTACTCCTTGTCCCACATTTTCTCCCATTAGTACAACATTTTCTCCCATTAGTATTATATTACGCCCAACATTTTGTGCCCAGTTTGATTCTTTAACTTGCTTGTCTGCCATTTGCGGGAGCTGTAGTTTTACAAGGTCTTTAGCCTCCTCTACCTCCTGGGGTAGATGCTTTTGAAGATAGATGCTTTTGAACTGTGGTGTTGGAGGAAAGTTCTGAGAGTGCCTTGGACCACGAGAAGATCCAACCAGTCTATACTTCAGGAAATAAAGTCGACTGCTCATTGGAGGGAAGGATATTAGAGGCCAAGATGAAGTACTTTGGCCACATCATGAGAAGACAGGAAAGCTTAGAGAAGACAATTATGCTGAAGAAAATGGAAGGGAAAAGGAAGAGGGGCTGACCAAGGCCAAGATGGATGGATGGCATCCTTGAAGTGACTGGATTGACCTTGAAGAAGCTGGGGGTGGTGACGGCTGACAGGGAGCTCTGGCGTGGGCTGGTCCATGAGGTCACGAAGAGACGGAAATGACTGAACGAATTAACAACAACAACCTCCAGGGTTTGAAGGAGAACAATAAATTAATGCGTTGCTGTGAGTTTTAATGTCTTTCCACCCCTACATCAAAATCTGGCCACAATATACTGACACAGGCAAGCAATCGTCTAAGCACTTCTCATTTCTGGCAGCAAAAATACATAGTAAGTGACACATGAAATAATGTAAAATTTGCATTGTCTAATAGTAAGGCTGGTATAGCTGTATGCAAATCTCAACAGCAGCATTCAATTGATCTCTACACTAATTGTTGCCTTGTTCTATCATGTTTGGTTTAAAGAAAAAGCATTCTTGGGTTTCGTGGTTTAAAAGATGAGTAATGTGCCACATTCTAATTCCCTTTTTCCAGAAATGGGATATATCCTTTATATATGAGCCAACTGGCAATACTTAATTCATTTGCTTTGTAAAGGCAATCCATATTTGCCCTCCTGTCCATTTTACAAATACATATTAAGATCCATTGCATTCTTTGAATAGTCTAAAAATTTATTCCGTGCTATGCCTAATTGATTTGTTAGTTATTGTTTTCAAGGCATATCTGCATATGCTTCATTTATGCACAAAAACAGAGTTAGCTGGGGATGGTGCTATTCTTCCTTGTTTATGAAAATGCATTCATTTAATTCTACATATGACATGGGGCAGAAAAATCAATTAAGCAAATATTATTTTAATGGTGGTTCATTAACAATTCTGGCCTTTCCCCAGGGTCATTCAAAATATAACATTTTCTACAAAGGTAGGAACAAGCTATGTACACTATCTTGTATGCAGTTGTTTGAATTGTTTGTTTTATGAGAAATCTTTGGTTAGAATTGAGAGACCTGTGTGATATGCATCTCTGTGTGTGTATGTGCCTTCAAGTTGCTTACCAAGTTACAGCGATCCTGCGAATTTCATAGGATTTCTTTGACTATCAATTTAGATGTCCAATGTTACCATTTAGCACATGGCTTGTGTAGCACAAGCAGCGTTCAACCCCCGCATGAAATATTTATGTTATGTAACCCTTATGTAGAGTCATGTCACCAGTCTTGGTGCAATGCATTTCAAGCTATCTGATGAACGGGACCAGCATTTGCCCCCCAAGGTGCCAGTATGATATTTGAGTACAATTCCTTCTTTCCTTCCTACAGTAGAAACTTGCCAGGGACCAGCAGAAAAGATAACCCATCCATAGAGCAGGGTTAGGCACCAATACGCAGAACACCTCTTTGGGTAGCACTGTATTAGTACAAATGTACATGTAAATTAGCTTTATGATTCATGGCCTTTACCTAGTCTGAGTACATGTGACCATGCCTGTTAGGGTCCAATTTTGCATCCTTGCAGTGAGCTATGGGGAATGATAGAAGTGATAGTCCAAAAGCAGGAGTCTGCCCAAGTCTTTGTGCTCATTTGATGATTTCTGAGTTCAGTAAAAGCTACGATGTCTAGAATACTGGAAATAAAATTTTGTTTTGGTTCTGTTTATTTCATTAAAAGTTTTAAAAATCACTATGATCCTCAGTGTAGCTGTTCCCCTGGCTTGGGTAAATCAACCCATGAGCATTAAATATGTTAAATATGGTGAAACTTTGCACAGATATATACACACATACACACTACGTTTCCTGGTTTTTATTGAAAGTTTTATAATACTATGATCAGTTTATCCTCCACATGTCCATTCAGAAAGTCCAAGTGATTTCAGAGAGTGAGGATAGCAATCTTAATCTAAAAAACAAGAAACTGTGGTTTCCGATAATTCTACTGTTTCTGTCCTGTTTCAGTGATGAATGGTAAAGCATGTATTAGAGGCAAAGCATGAACAATCATTTCTGGCCACAAAAGGGCTTTCGCAGATGAATGTTTGGCAGCCTTTGTAGACTTAATGAACTGTCCCCAAGGAGTCCTTCTTCCTACTTGCCTGTCAACTTTTGTGAAATGTTCACTGGAAAAGAATTATGGGAAAAGTTCCCGAGCAAGTAAAATTTATACTGGTGTAACCTGAAGTGTTACCTTCCTACTTTGCACCAACTTAGAAATTTCTTTTCAGTTTCATTCTGTTGGGGAAAAAGCAGGAAACAATTAAAATTGATACTTTGGAATGCAATTGTATAATTCCTTCAAAATAGGTAGCATTTCAAGTGTTATACTATGAGACTGGAGTTTGAATCCCTGCTCAGCCATTGAAACCCACTGAGTGACCTTGGGCAAGTCACATTCTCTCAGCCTCAGATGAAGGCAATGGCAAACCTTTTCTGAAAATAATCTTGCTGGGAAAACCCTGTGATAGATTCACCTAAGGGTTGCCATAAGTCG